GGACCTGGTTTTGCCTGAAGGTGATCAGTCAGTGCAGAGGCAAGAAAAGTCAAAGCTCACACTCTAAGTTAAGGGAGATGCAAATCCTTCCTGGATGACTTGGTCGTGTGAGGCAGGAATATAACATAAAAAAAAATTCTAAGTGATTAGAGGCACAGCCTTTGGTGTGCAGTGACCTCTCAGTTGTCCTGCTCTACTTTTCCGTTTTTAAAGATTCTGCTCCAGTAATGACGTTGTTACTACCTGGAATAATTCGGGTTGCCTTACAGAGCTCACAGCTTTACCTTCTTTTGTGTGCCATTTTTTCGCAAATCATCTTTATGAATTATTGAATTATTTTTTTGTTTTTTTGGACTTTTGCTTTATTTAATTTTGGCAGCATTTACACTTATTTAACCCCCTTTTTTTTTTTTTTTTGGCTTATGATCTCAATCCTGGATTCGGCATCGTTTTTACCTACAGTATGAGGCACTTACTTGTTTTCTCTTCTTTTTGGAGACTTTCTGATGCCTTATGCAAACAGTGTGGTAAGGAAATAATTAGTGTTGAAGTTGTAAATACTATCTCTTTTTTAAGCATAACAGCACTGTCCTTAACTGGCAGTGTAGACGAACGGTAGGTATTTGTTAGTTTTAATGCAGTGTGACACACCAACACAAACACACACACACACACGTACTCAGAGGGCACGCTGACGGTCGTACTCCTATTTTGGGCTGTACAGGTTTTCTTTACTCTTCTTCACGTAGAGACAACCTCCTACTCAACTCCCTCCTTGGTGGGCTGGAGCCGGAGTCTTTCTTGGATCCAGCAGGAGGCAGTCATTATCTCTTCTGTCAGACCACGCTATGCAGAGCCCACTGGACTCATCAAAGAAGCCCTTGCCATGTGGCAGATTCCCCACTCCAAGTGTTCAGAGACTGTGATGATGATGATGGTGATGGTGGTGGTGGTGGTGGTGGCGGCCATAGTGATGATGCCTCTGGTTTACACTGTAGTGCAACCCATATCAAATGTCAGTGAGTGAGGAGTATTTATGATTGTGAATAATAAGGGAAAAGCTAGCAACACCACAAAGAAGCTGCTGTCTTGTCCATTGTTTTTTTTTTCTTTTTTTTTTTTTCTTTTTAATTTGCTTCTTTTTGTTCAATTGGCCTCCTTTGAAGGGCCGTTCCCTTGGTGTGTAAACAGAGTTTTACGCTGGTCACAATGAGAATGGAACACTTGCTCTACCTCTTACTCCTTCACTCTCTTTGACACCTTTTACTGAGTGGGACTGACAAACTTGAAGTATGGAAAGACAAAAAATAAAGGCTTTATTGTTCTGTACATGCATTTTCAGCATTTGTTTCGTGACTCCCAGGGAAAAACTTTTATCAAAATCTCCCTCGCAATATTTAATAGCATCGTACAACTTTTGAAGGTTTGTCACATGCGTGTTGGAGTGTGACTGAGGTCTTGTTATCCCAAACCAGCTTGGCCGAATCTGTCTTTTTGTGGGGTTAAACCATAGAGATGTTTGTGTAAAATTCTCTGTGGAGCACTATTGTTTAAAATACTAATGTCAGTCTGTAAACACTAATCACGTAACAGCACCAGATATGTAAGTGATGAGTGTTTCCAAAGAACCAGTAGGTGGCAGTAATGGAAATTAAATAGAGCTACAGTGCTGCTGTTAAAAAACCTAAAGCAAAAGAAGCAATCAAGAAGGTGTGTTTGCTGGATTAGCTTATCCTAGCTATATCTCAGAGAAAACAGACTATTGTAAGTATTAATCCTCAAATAAAAACATTTTTTATGTTGCAGTACTGATTGTTAACATCCTGGGAGTTGGATGCGTACGTTAAACGTTTTGAAAATGTTCTTGAAAGATTAACAGGATCAGATTCAACTTTGATGTTTTCCCACGTGTGTCATGAAAAGGTGCTTCACAACTTCATCCACAGCCTGACAGGAAGAGAAGCTTCGTGGTTTGAAGAAAAACAAAAATAAGGTGAGAAATGTTGAAATAATAGTTTATTTACTGTCATACAAATTTCATTGTTAGCAATATTTCAAGTTTAACTTTTTTTATTTTGGCAATTTTAAGGCAATTCTTTGAGTGAGTGAATTTTAATTGTTATTGGATAAAAACCTAAAAGCTAATTTTGTTTAGTGACTCAACATTGATGTCCTGTTCCATTCTTTGGGTATGACTGCACCAACTGTTCAAATTAGCATTCGTAAATGCTAGCTGAGATGACAGATACTGCTGCTGGTTGATCCCCGGCTTCGGCTCGTCGATTTACGCATGTCAGTTAGGCTGTTTTCCACCCGCTCACATGTGATACTGTAAAGACAGCATGATGTAATGAAAGACAAATTGAAGCAAGAGATGGAAATGCTACACCAGGCCTCGGTACATGCATATCATTCACATGGTAACCTAAACTCGCTCACTGGGAAAGTAGATCCTGCAGCTTCCACACTCTGAATTTGAATAATTACGCTGCCTTAATGTATGTCCAAGACAAACTGGTGCAGTTTAGGATCCAACGTGCAGTGTGTTGTTTGCCACCGTTTTTGTGGCGTCCTTTTGCAGAAACACTCATTATGTAAGTCAACACACACCTCTTAACATATCGTGATTCCTTTGGCTTTGCGTGGAACAGGAGAAAAGAGCTGAGTTTTGGTGGGTGTTTTTTTTTTGTTTTTTTCCAAGTGCGTGTCTGCTGTGATTGTCAACAACAGCAGTTTGATAAAAGCTCACTCTGAGTGTATCTGTCAAAGACCAATGACTTTATGCCAGGATGGGAAAACTCAAAAGCAGGGGTCTGCAGGCAGTGGTCCGGGGCTGAGTGTCTTATCAGCTACACTAAAAGACGCGCCATAAAGAGAGCTGCTCTTTCATAGGTGCTTATATAACCCCAGTGAAATGACCGTCAGGGAAGGAGAATACAGGCAGCTTCAAGTCACATCACAGTCACAGTACATTTCTGACTGGGCTGTAGTGAAGAAGAGAACAAAACAGAGTGTAGAGAGTGGTCACTGCTCACTCCTTACAGGAAGGTCACCAGTTTTACCACTCAGTGGTAAATGATGGTTTTCCTGTTCCATGTTCTCCCAACATGTGCGTAGTTAGGTTAGGTTAATTAGACACTTCACTTGGTGTGAATTTAAGTGTGAACGGTTGTTTGGCCTGTGATGGACTGGTGAACTGTCCAGGCTTTACTTGATAAATACTTTGCCCCATGATCATTGGGATTGGCTTCAGTGTGACCATAAAAATGACTCATCTGGAGAAAATGAATGATTAAACTACATGTAAATATTTTAGGAACATTTTGGCATGGCAATAAAACTAGAGTTTCAGATTCATGATTGTTTATTGTGTTCATTGAGATAAAGTGCAAATAGAGTAAAATGTTTTGTTGAAACTAAGGACAAATGGATTTGTTTAACCATTAAGTACACCACAAAATCAGTACATTTACACATCAGTACAAAAAGTACATTTTTAAAAGGAGTATTTGGAGTGTTTGTTTTCATATTAAACTTCAGGTTTTTGCATTACCAAATTGAGGGAACTTTTTTACATTGATAAGAGCAAAATATAGTAGCAGAATTTTTGATCAACAGATTTTTTATTTATTTTTTGCTAATACCCTGGAATTTTGTCTGCATCTTTTCTTCCAGCAGTCTCTCTAGTAGCGTTTGAATCCATGCCTATTTTTACCCATCGAAGTAAAGTTTGGGAACTGCTCCCCCAAGGGAGAGTACAGATGGACAGAGGAGTGCTAGGGAAGACATGGGAGGTACGCACACTCCATTTAGAATTATGTCCTTATCTCATGCCAAAATCTCACGATCTTCTGACCCGCCCCCGTCCTGGAGATGGAAATCCAGTGGCAGTGTTGTGCACACAGCACGTTAAGTCAATTTGGTGCTACACACACTGTCCTATACCCACCCAGCTGATGAGTGCTGAGCCAATTATAATAATTGTGCTTTGTGGCTTTTTTAAGTGGACGAACGAGAGTAATTGAAGGACGACATCCTTCATTAGTTCTCTCTGAATCCGAGCCTTGCCGTCCTCTTCCTGTGCCTCGCCAACCAAAGCACGGCCTTCACCGTGTCCTTAGATGGCAGATGTACAAGCAGCAAATGACGTGGTATAAGTTTACATGTCACAGGGTGAGTTTTTGTGATGGAAAGTGAGATTAGGGTCACTTTTTCAAGCAGGGTGGATTTATGCAGCCAGATCTTCTAACTTATGCGGCGTGCTGTGCTGTAGTGTAGATCGGCTCCTTTTTGCACCACCAGACCAGGTCTAAGTAGGGTGTCTCTTAGACTCTTTTTGGGACGAAATGTAATCTAAAATCTCAGATTACTCCAAACTACAGATTAAGGTTTTTCTTCGTTTCTTTAGAAAATAACCACTTCTCTTGTTTCCTATCTTCATTCATATGAAACTGAAGGAAGGAACGGTTAAATGGTCATGGTGGTGGAATCCTCAGTTTGTTGTCCTATGTTAGTGGTGAGCTATCAAAAGCCTCAAGGACAGTTCTGTGCTCTCTCGGCTCAAAGGACTGAATTACAAAGGAGACGCTGGTCCATGAATGCATCTCCTGCATTAAAGAAAATGCCTCAGAGAAATCCTTGCACTAAAAATGTTGTCCTTTGAGGCTTGGTCTCAGACTTTTTTTTTTACCTAGTAATGTCTATGACATGACGTGACATCGGACACACGGGCGAATCGCGGGATGGACTATTGGACAGAATCACTGAAGATCACAAGTGACTCCAGTACTAGACAGATTACTGACGGTTGGCTGAGAGTGGAAGACTGCGTGCCTCCTGTAAACGGCAACATATTCTTAGCTCACTGCAAACACTGGCCTCCTTCAATCTAGTGCAAGAACGTAACTGATGTGTGCTGATGCTGACACACAGACAGATCTGAGGGACTGGATTAAAGCAGAGCTGTGTCATCCACTGTGATGGGTTATATGGCCAGTGTGTGTGTGTGTGTGTGTGTGTGTGTGTGAGTGTGAGTGTAAGAAGAGACACCACCAGTTCAAATCACCACATCAACTCCACTAGTGAAATACATGTGTCATGTTGGGGGTAAAAAACACATATAGGTCACTGTGTAGTAGGGGAATACTTTTAAAGTGGATACACGCAGTACCAAATAAGACTAGTATTTACTGCACCATTCAGGACTTTTGGACTATTTTAAAACCTGAAACAGAGGTGTGGTGGTGTAATGATGAAGACGGAGGGAGCAGGTATCGTGTCCTATCAAACCACTGCTGAAAGAACATGCACACTGCTGCTGCTGCTGCTGCTGCTGCTGCCGCTGCTGGCGCTGCGCGGGGCGGCTGTGTGTCGTTTTT